GGGGGGGGGATTAATAGAAGGGATGTTTGCAAAGAGCTTTAATTGTTACTACAGTGGTTACTTTGATCCCATATATGCGTCGTGCATGCTCAATGGCTGCAATCTGATGCACAAACTAGGATGTATGAGCAACATTTTGTTAGTGTACATAGTGAGTAAAGTTAGTCAGAAGAGAAATAAACTAAGTTGGTTTCAAGATACCCTGAATAAGAGTCGAGTTGATAAGTACTACTGATCTCTGTCGTGGCTATTAGCTATTGCATTTGTTTTGTTTGTTGTGGTTAGTCAGTGGTAGCCTGGTAGTTTGCTTTTCTTCATGAATTATTTTTTTTATTTTTTTTAAATTGTTAAAAAGGAAAATCCTTTAGAGTTTCTGTTTCAGGCCTCTATGTAGAATAAGAGAATATTTAGGTTAAAATTCCTTGAATTTTAGTAAAAATTTTCACCAAGTGAGAGATTAATGAAGTTCAATCAAAATGTTGGTGCTCTACCTGATCTAGCTGCTCATTTGCTTAAGCTTTGGCTCTGCTTTGGTCTATTCATAAATAAATATACACTTTAGGCATGTATTTCAACTTGGAACATAGAGTTGATTCTTGAATTCAGTGGACGTCTCATTTCATTTTTTCTCGAGGCTTTGCTAAAGTAAATGATATACATCCTCATGATTGTAATTGGGCAGTTTCATACATTAGATGACAAATATTTACTCCAAATCTTTAACTTTAAATTCTTTTTAACTAATTTCCCTAACTAGGATAGACCTTGAGTGAGAATGCAGAAATCTTAGTTGGCACCTGTTCCATGTTCTTATTTTTACTGTACTCTAGTCCATTTTAGCTTAAATATTCATTCTAGTCCTTTTCAGCTTAAATATTCCTTTGATTTCAACTAATATGTAAGTTTTAGTCCCCCTATAGACATGCCATAATTTTACATTTGAAATTCAATAGAACATAACACTAAGCACATAATGGTCCTAAAGCACATGAAAGTGAATTTTCTATTTTCAGTTATAATAGAAACTAAAGGAGCAGTAAGCTAGATGTTGTGTCTTTATTTGAAGCTCTGAAAACTACTGTGTTCTGCTAAAGGAAACTTGTTCTAGTGTTTTTGATATTATAAATTAGCTTCTTCTAGGTTCTATCATGTTTAAGTTTAGTTGTACGATGTTCAACAGGTTGGACTTCCTGCTGCAATTTTTGACATGATTGCTAATTTAAATGGTTCAGATGAGACAAGTCCTACAAGTCTTATGGATGATACCATGGTAAGTAAACTTATTCTATTTCATGTGAAAGCAAGTTTCTATCTTATGTGTACTGTTTTTCAACTATATATGAGTATTGTCTAACATATATAATCAACTAAGACAATTTAGTTGGATTTGAGTTTTTTTTACGTACTACAGTATGGCTCATGGCCACATTTCATCTACTTAGACTTGGTTTCCTATCTCCTTAGAGCACAAGGATATAAGAGCCTATAGAAAATATCATGTTTAAGCAGGTCCAAAAAAGAAAAAATCCAAGGAATTCCCCCAAACAGGAAATGTTAGCCCAGAAAGAAAGAGGAAGAAACGAGGCAAAATATAGAGTATTGGGATTTTCTTTAATAGCATGGTTGCCCCTCTCTGTTCACCATTGATTTTCCTCCGTTATCAAAAAATCAACAACGTCATCTCTGTCTTTACTTTGTGTTTGTGTGTGAGTTATTTATTTGGCATGGATGGATGCGCCACAAAGAGGCAGTGATGATTTTTTTCATGTCCCACTCCTATTTTACATGGAAGATTTGCACCAAAAGGATCATTTGAATCTTCAATGTAGTTAAATAATCAAGGACTCTAAAAATATAATTTAGGAGCATGAGATTTTGGACTGAAAAATGTATACACGTTTTCCTCTTTGATCTTTTTCTTGTCCCACTTTTCCTCAATTCCTCTTATGCAGTTAAACAAGTTTTCAGTGGTTTTATTTTATATTTTTGTATTCTATTGCTTCTTTTTACCAAAATTTAACTATATTTATCTTCTTTATAGGATGAGCATGTGTAAACCAACATTCCTGGCAATCCAGTTCATGTAATGCACAAGCTGTCGAAAGAAGATTTGTTTTTCGGGTTACTATTGGAATATAACTTAAGGACCGTGGATATATGATGCTTTTGTTCGTTTTGTTAGTAAAAACATAATGTTTCGGACTATTTAGTTTTTGAAAGTGAGTATATCCACTGCATCAAATATATGTATAGACTTTATATATATATAATATAATTTATTATTTCTACATGCATTTGTGAAAATCTGAAAGAATATATAAATTGTGTATTTAGTAACAACTTATAAATTGTTGTTAAAGTAGTACTAGAGAATTTGTTGGCAAAAAAGTAATTATTGCCACAATAATAGTTGTTGCTTAAAGTCTTGATAACAGACTATTTACTTTACCGCCAATTATTTTTTAGCAACAACTAATATTGTTGGTAAAAAGCTAATTTTGTCATAACAATAATTTTTGTTGCTACACATCTTCATAATCCACGACTTTATTGGCCTTCTACCAACAACAAATAACTTATGGCAACGGTATATATTGTTGCGCTAGGTACACTTATGAGCACAATATTTTGTATTGTTGCATATACCTTTCCCATCGGTGTTTATTGCAACAGAGTGCAACGACTTTTTTGTCGTTGCCAAAAGTACTTTTGGCAACAACATTGAATATATGGCAAAAAAATTATTGTTGCGAAATGACTTCTTTCTTGTAATGATAGTCTCCGACCTCAAAGAAAAACTTACTCCAGAGTAGTACAAACAACTAGGTACTACTTGTTTTGGAAGTTTCCTTGAAATGAAGCGTTCTGAAGTCCAACATCAATTGTTCAGGTGCTTCATGGCTCTGCAGTTAGAAGGAAGTACTGACGATGTATTTTCAATATACGTCAATGGTACAACATTATCTTTCTCAATAAAGGAGTTTGCGCTTGTCACTAGTCTCAAATGTGTTGGTGACCTTGATAATTTTCAATTTGATGAAAAGGTGCCAAACCGGATTGTTGAGACATACTTTGGGGGTGCAAATCTTGTCAAAAAGAAGGATTTGTTGACTTGTTTTGCTGAGAAGAATTGGGGTCATGACAACGATGGGGATGCCATCAAGATAGTTGTATTCTATTTAATACACATTTTCATATTTTCATCCGAGAAGGACACCACAACCATCCCAAGACTACATTTTGACTTGGTCGAGAGTGGGAGATTTTCTGATTATCCATGGGGTATAAAAGCATTCGAAAACCTTATAAAATCTATTAGCAAGAAGATGGATTCTCAGAAGAAGTACTATAGGATAGCTAGGATGCCTCTCGCTATGCAAGTTTGGTTTTATGAGTGCTGTTCAAATGTTGATCCCAAAATTGCACTCTGTGTTGATAACCGGGTACCCAGAATACTCAATTGGAGATCCACCATCAATCAGCCAACCTATGCTTATATGATGAATGGCATGTTCACTGATCAGGGAAATATGGTAATTTACTATTTGTTAAGTGGCTGTTTTTTTTTTGTTTTTTTTAGATTATATTTTTGCTAGTGAATACAGTTGCATACAGCCTACTTTTGCATACAACCTACATTGTATTTCATATTTGCATACAGCAATGGTAGTACTCTTAGAGTGTATTTTGTTTTTCAGATTGTTTACAATGACATCCAGCCAAGCGATACAGAGCTTGCTATTATTCAGATTCCTCCAGTAGGTGTTGATGTAGAGAACAGTCCTACTCCTACTCATTCAGAAAAGTCCGCAGAGGATTCAAATGACTTTACTGCTACACCGCATCTTCAGTCTAAGAAGAAACATGCTGCAAGTGTTGGTCCATCTTCATCACCGCCCCACAAAAAGCGCAAAGAACAGATTATAGATCCCTCAAATGTAGAGACTCAATCCAAGATTCCTCCTGTGGGCGGATCGGAAACAGGTGAAAATGTTTTGCATGACAAGAAGCCGGTAGATTCTAAAACTGAAGAAGTATCTTCTTTGAGTAAAGATCTATATTCATCCAAAGAATACGTGAGTTTTTTATGCACATATTAAACATTATAGTGTAGTGCTTAACATTCGTATATTTTTGGCGCACTTTTCTAATTATTTCTGTCTTGCTAAGGTGATGGGCGAGTTCACGTCTCTGAGATAATTGATCAATAAAAACTTTAAGATGCTTTCTGAACATCTTCAAGATAATCAGCAAAAGGAAAGGGTATACGAGAGAAAGAACACCATAGGTAGACGTGATGATGGTATTGAAATGTCATATGATGCCAACTTGTAAGATAATCCTAAAGACCAAACACATAGTGATATAGCTATCAGCGAGAATGTAGAGGTTTAACATTTTTTAACCTCTTTAGTATATGTTTATATCTCATTTGTGCTCTTATTCAAATTAATCATATATAAAACATCATACACATTATGAAATACAAGTATATACATAATACTTCAGTATATTTAATGTACCTTGCTAGCTAATGTACCTTGGCATATTGTTGACAATGTTTTGATACCAATCAACTTCAAGGACAAACTACACTGGATATTGGATGTTGTCTCATTCAAGGAGAGATGTATCAAAGTGTATGACTCATACATATCTGCAGGTCATGATGCCTATGTAGCTTCTGAGAAAGATAAGCTTGCTAAGCTTGTACCTCTGTATCTATCAATCAGTGGCTTTTATAGAGATAAGCAAGGCATAGATTGGTCTCATGACTCAGCATACACTGACAAGTCACATACTGATCCCTTTGATGTTGTTTTCATATCAAATCTGCCTCAACAAAAAGCTGGGAGCATGTATGTATTCAATCATCATGCTTGTATCATTTATAAATCTATTAGTATGAATTGTTTTTAATTGTTTCAATCTACACTTTTCAGGGATTGTGGGCTGCATGTTGCGGCATACACAGAGTTGTCTGAGCACTTTTGGTGAGGTTCCACAAATACGATTTGATGCCAATCTACTCCGTCAAAGATATGGTGCTCTCCTGTGGGACTATGCTATGCGGAAGATAGACACTGATGCCATAAGCAAGAACGAAGCACCTTCAAAGATTGCTAGGCAAATCACGGAGTCAGATTCATCGTTGAAGATAGTGTTAGAGTAGTTTTAGGTGAATATAGTTTTGGAAGGTTGTTTTATGTGAATACTGTTTTTTGAATATTGTTTTGGTGAAGATGGTCTTCAGTAAAGAAAAACCCATATTTTAATCACTGTATCCACAATGTTTATATATGACCATTTAATCTATTCAATCTATGTTTCATTGTTTTGTGCATAAGTATTCACACTTAATCTACAGGTTGTATTCATATATATCTAACAGGTTATATTCATATGTATTCAACAGGGTGTATTAGTATGTATTCAGATTCAGTCACTTGGATTGTATATCCAACTCAGAAAGAATGTTACAGGTTTTATAAGTATGTATTCAACCTGTTGTATTTATATTTTTTAAGCAGGTTATATTTATACTTACACAAATGTGTATGTAATTGTATTTTTTTTGTTGGATTTGTATATTCAAGTCAGACATAGTGTATATGTCACGACCCTAAACCCAGACCCGGTCGTGATGACGCCTATCGTGAAGACAAGGCTGGCCGACACTACCCATTTCAGTATTTAACAGTTAAGCATTTAGAAACAGTCTAAGCATGATCAAATAAACCAAGGTTTAAGTAGTTAATAACATAATTGCGGAAAATAACCCAACATAACTCGAAACTGGGGTGTCACTAGTCATGTGCATCTAACAAAAAAACGGAATACTCCAAATATATATAACTACAGAGTTTAATATAGAAACTAAGAACATAAAGGAATAGGATAGGGAAGAGCTCCGGGTCGCGAACGCCAACAGCTACCTAGAGACTCCTCGGATCCGCCTGAGCCGGAATGATCAGCACTCGGGAGCGGGACCAGATATGCCGGAATCTGCACACAGGGTGCAAGGAGTAAAGTGACTACTCCAACTCAGTGAGTAATAATCGTAAATAAAGACTGAAAGCAGGAAATTACGTAAGGCACAAGGCATGCTATAATGAAGCAGTAAAACCATTTAAAACAGTAAACCAGTGAAAGATATATAAAATCCTTTAACTCAAAATTTAACTTCATGAAAAACCTTTTTTTTTTCAACAGTTAAGCATGGTAATTGACAGTCAATTATGAAAAGTAAACACATAAAGGTTCTCCCCTCAAGCACAGTATCAACAAATCCGCCCCTCGGGCAACATCTCAGAACAATAACAGCCCCTAGGCTCAATCTCAGGACAGTGCCAGCCCCTCGGGCTCAATCTTAGAATAGTGTCAGCCCCTCGGGCTCAATCTCAGATCACAATGGTACCTGCACTCACTAGGGGTGTACAGACTCCTGTACCCAAACGCAATATCAACCCACCTCGTGGCATCATCACTAGGCCCTTGACCTCATATCAATCAAGTCACCTCGTGGCGTACATATCTCAGGCCCTCGACCTCATAATTGGTATCAAATGTCTCCTCACAACATAGGCCTTCGGCCTTACTCAGTTAAAATCCTCGCAAACCACTCGGGCAATAGTAAAACATGATTCTCAGCAAAAAAATATCATTTAAAAGATCATGTAAATGTTAAAATAGAGTAAACATGACTGAGTACAAAAACAGTAAAATATAACATGACTGAGTTCAATTGTAAAGTCAAAATAGTGAGAAAATACTAGTAAAAATCCCCAAAGGGTTCAAATAGTTGGCACAAGGCCCAAATATGGAATTCAACCCAAATCATGATGATAGCAAATAGATTTCAGTCAAATACGCGGTAAAATAGTCGTCCGGGACGGACTAAGTCACAATCCCCAACAGTGCACGACCCCACGCTCGTCATCAAGCGTGTGTCTCACCTCAATATAGCACTACGATGTGCAATTTTGGGTTTCAAACCCTCAGAACATTATTTACAATCATTACTCACCTCGAACCGGTCAAATCTCTAGCTCACGATGCCTTTGCTCCTCGAATCGGCCTCCACTACCGTCGAGTCTATCCAAAATCAGAACGAGGGCGTCAAAATATGCTAAGGGAACGAAGCCCAAGCGAAAATAATCAAAATACGACACAAATCCCGAAATTACCAAAACCCGCCCCCGGGACCACGTCTCGGAATTTGATAATATTTACATTAATATATTCCTTATCTCCCCACGAGTTC